AAATAGTTATTAAGTAATATATATATTAAAATAGAAAATAATAAAACTTAATAAAGTAACTTACTTACTTATCTAGTTTACTTATTTATTAACTATATTAATATAAGATAATATTATTATATTTATATTAAAAGATATTTACTAAGACTTTTTAAAAAAAGATCTAAGTTTCTATATTAGCTAGTCTTTAATACTAACTTTAACTTAATTAAGTTATATTAAAATTAGATAAAGGACTACATTTAAAACTATTAGTACTAGCATATAAGTCTTCGTATAACCAGCTTTATATATATATAATATAAGCTTAGGAGACTCTTTTATAGAAATTTTTAAAGAAATTAATAGCTTTAATATTAGCTTTAATATTAGCTATTATTAAGGCTAATAGAATATATATAAGATTTAACCCCTTATTAATAGCCTTACTAGTTGCTTATTTAGGAATAGCCTTAAATTCGGTACTAGCCTAGCATATAATACTTACCTAGCATACTTAGTATACTCAGAGCTTGTACGGAGTAAAATCGCCGTTATTGCGATCAATGCTAGGCTGTTCGCAATGAGCTTGCTTCGAATGGCGTAACATCTTTATGTAGAGGTTCAATATATCGACCACTCGTTTGTTCCATCTGTACTTTCTTAGATTAGATTGGATTTTTGGCGCTTCTTTGCGCTCGACTTTCCCCCCTTAAGCCGCTGTTTAAACAGGTCAATGTTATACTTAGTATGAACTATTATAGCGAATAGTACCTCAATGGCAATAAACTCAATACATCTGGTTTTCGTGGTCTTCGACTGTTTAGTTGCCCTAACGCATCCACTCATTGCATTATACTCTATTCCCTCCGAATCAGCCCGCTTCTGAACCGCCAGTCGTACAACTCCAGCCATTTAGTTTCGCTAGCAAGCAGTGTTCTCGTATTCTCGTCTGTATATCTCAATTTCATCCGCTCAGGTTTTTATGGTGTTTTGTATAATTTACACGCGTGTGTACAAGGCATGTTTTGCATGCACACTTGCTTGTGTCTCTCTTGACCTTTGGTGAAGCCCCTTGTGTCCAGTTTGAGCTGCGTCAGTCCTAGGTCTAGACGCAGCCTATGGGGGTTGTTTTCTGCGAATGGCCATCGTAACTATGACAAGCGCGGCCATTAGGCACCATGCCTTGCCCCGAAATTGTATGATCTGCTTGCCCGGCAAAATCGTTGCGGTCGGGTGGCCAGCGGTTTTGTTTGTCTCATCGCTTTGTTTGCTTATCCTTTGTCTGCTCATCCTCTATCTGCTCTTCCATGGCCTGCACTATTCGCTTCTTATCATTCTTGGAGAATTGAAGGCTACCCTGCGCCAGTGCATGAACCAAAAACGGTACAGACTCGGCCTTGAAATCATCCGCGTTACGGACTTTGTCCAGATCCTCCGACAACTCCTGTGTGAGCCGCTGGAGGTAACCAGATGAAAATCCGAGTTCGATATTCTTCTCTGACATTTGTGCATATACTTTGGATGACTCCTGGAGCGACACTTCTATTGGTGTAAATTTCGGTCTGGGCTCGCTGTGAAGCTGGTGCTGTTGTAAATGTGAAGAATTTTTGGTCCACTCGAATGTGGCACTTGGTGGAAGGCCGACCAGCTCAATTATGGCCCATACACCTACCCTGTACTTTTGCGTTCGACGATCGCAGCTATCGCGTGTTCGCTTTGATCGGCGATGCGTTGGATCATTTACTCTGGCTCTTACTTGCGTGCTCGAGTTTGTCTGCTGTATGCGTCTACTTGTATTGCCGTCTTTTGACCTTGTATGTGCGGTCGTCATAGACAACCAGCAAACATGTCGTACAATGGCAATCCCTTTGAGCATGCAAGGAACTACCGGTGCGTCGACAGAGTGCCAGACCGCATAAGCCGCACAAACACTCTATTTCAACACAAGTGTCAGGTCTGAAACACAGCAATAAACATCGTGTTCACGTATCACCTAGACGAGAAACCCAAACGAGTTGCCACCAAGGCTATAGTTAGCCAAGTACTCAGCAGAGAGAAGAGGAAAAATATTACACGTTTCGTAGGATAGACATCGTCTTCAGGCCCTGAATCACCACAAGCTTCACACATATGCACTATAGACGGAAAAGTATACACAGAGCGCACAAGTGGTGATCATACTAAGACCACCAACTCTTCAACAGCAAATATAGGCATTTGTGCTACCGCTCCAGGGGATCATAAGTGTTTGTATGAGGTAAGGGGTGATAGATTGAGTAGACGATGTTTCATTTCTGGTCGGGCTGGGGTCGTCGAACTTCTGCCGAGGAGACAAGGCAGATATGATTGTTTGGAATGGACTACAGCGGCTCTCCAACCGAGGAGCATTTTTCCGAGGCTCACTTATAAGCAGTCATGCTACATAATTCTAGTCAGCCAAATGAACACATACATGTCGTTCCGTGTAGGCATTGTGAATGAAGACAAACGAAGTAGGGGTGCTTACAGGTCGTCACTACTGCATTCGCTGGTCACACAGCCAGTCATAACAGCGATGAACTTCTTTAAGCTGTCCATTGGTTCGTACATGAATCATTTTGCTTGTTGATCTTCTGCGCAATCACGTATGCTAATGCGTCGAAGTGATTTACCCGCAAAGACATTTGAAATCGGTCTGGGATGAACAGCTGGACGCCGGGACGCTCTGCTCAACGCACGGCGTCGCGAACTCTGCCGGTCCATTCGTGTAGAATTGCGCTATCACTGTAGTGGCGAGGAATAGGAACAAGATAGTCTTGAACTGCATTATGAGCTTGGCTTTGAAGACGTCAATGATGGTGCCGAAATGAGGGCACTTTCGATACCGAGAAGGGGACTTGTATGGTTTATATCAATAGCACTTGGGTTACCGATTTTCTCTAGCCCTTCCGTATACCCGAGCAATGTAACAATATCTGGTTTTTTAACCGGGAAACGTCGTGGTCCACGAAGATTGGCCCGGTTGCGATATATTCAACACAGTACGTAACATCGATCATGGGCTTCTGTAAAATAGGCCCAGACATCGATTGATTGTATCGAAACACCGCCACATAGATCTATACAATACTCCACGGACAGGTATGCATCCTATTGCAGGGGGGCAACGAGCAATTGGTGTATGGTCGTTTCGGTGTCTCGTTGTGATATGGTCATAATGTTGGTGTCCGAGTTTATCTATATATAATCCTCCCGGCCTGAGACAAGTACGACGACAATCAAATTCGAACTTGGCTAGTGTATCAAGTGTCGGCAAAGCACGATGCACCGGATGCCGTCACGATTGCTGAGTGAAGGTCGAAACCAGTAATCGCAACAGTTTAGAGATATTGGAACCACAGAGTAGATAATAAAAAGTCTGAATATTGTCATTGTTGTAGCAATAGCAGACCACACCAGCCCTAGACCTGCGATTTCCGGTACCAAAACAGAGGTAATGACTCAGACCGATTATGGCGACGTGCGAGCGAATGCAGCATATCCATTCTTATACGAGCATTCGCCTAGTGAGAAATATACTGAAACACAGCAGACACATCGTGCTCCCCGTACTCCTGCCTCAATAACAAATCTTGGATAGGCTTCAAACCATCGTTTGTGAAATGATTCCAAGTGCTCGTGTCGCCGTATAGAAGTGCAGGAGCTTTTATATATTGGGTACCGTCTGGCCGGCATCTCTTGCACCTGAATGTGTCGTGTGTATCGCTTCTTGTGTCGGAACGGTACTGAAATAGCTCTCTGAGGCTATCTCGAGAGAAATGCCGCTCAACATCTTCCGCAGAATCCACCACACATGACGAAAGGCTCTGTTTGTGCGACTGGCGCTGGAAGATTTTCTCCTCGATAGTACCTGTAGCGATAAAGCGATAGACAAAGCAATCCTTTTTCTGACCGTCACGCCACACACGTGCCAGAGCTTGTTGATCCGCGGCTGGATTCCAGTCCGGATCGAAGAGAATGAGTCGATTTGCACCAATCAGATTGATACCACAGCCCCCTGCCTTACTGCTCAATAAAAAGACGAACTCATCGCCCTCAGGGTCATTGAAGCGGTCCACAAGTTTCTGACGTTTGTTAACGTTCATCGTGCCATCCAGGCGTAAACATCCGTATTGACGTGATCGACAGAGTTTCTCGAATAAGTCCAGTGTCGATGTGTAGTTGCTTATGAGAACAATTTTGTCATTTGTATCTTGACGTATGCGAGCCAACATGCGGTCCAATACTTGCATTTTCCCGGAATACCATGGCTTGACTTCGCGGTCTCGCCCTCGGGCTTCTTTAGGAATGTAATCTGAAGGAAAACAGTATTCAGAGCCAGGCAAGTCTTCATCCAGAACAAGAAGATCTGGATGATTACAAAGCTTCTTCAGGATGTTGATCGCTTTCAAAGGCTGGCTTCCCTTCCCGCGCAACAGAGCTTGAATATCGGGACTGGTGATGAAATAATTGTACAGATCCAGTTGAAATGGCGCAAGATTGCAGAAGACAACATGCTCGTACTTGACAGGCAAATATTTGGATAGAATATCGTTCGTTCTGCGAATGAGGAACTTGTTGACAATTCCAAGTAACTCCGTCGTACATGCATCGCCACGCTGTTTGTCTTCTTCCGAAGCATCTGCATCGCGGCCTCTGAGAATAGGGATCTCGAAGCGTTTTCGAAACTCAAGCCGAGAACCGAGTAGCTCCGGATTTGCAAAACTAGTCAAAGAGAAATATTCCGTGAGGTCGTTCTGGATAGGGGTTCCAGTCAGAATGACGCGTCTCGACACGTTAAGATTGTTCAACGCGTTGAATGTGTTGCTATCTCCGTTCTTAAGGCGGTGGCCCTCGTCACAGAATAGCAGACCAATTTTCGTATGCTTGAGTTCTTCCACGTTCAGTCGCAATGTTTCGTAGGATACAATAATCACAGGTCGTGTGACAGACCTTCCGGAAGCAATAGCCCACTGTCGGAGTTGACGCGTCAGTTCTTCCTTCGAAGCTTTCCCATCGATCGCAAATGGAGTGATGGCATTAGCACCGAGCCACTTTATCAACTCGTTGGCCCAGTTCTTCACCAAGCTCGCAGGGCAGACAACGATAGCTTTTTGAATCGTTGGTTTTCCAGCGTCAGGTGATTGCTTCAGCAATGTCCATAAGAGTGTAATACACTGCAGAGTCTTCCCAAGACCCATCTCGTCTGCCATGATGCACCCGTTCGCCTTCGTATCAATGAGACCGGAAACGCATCGATACATGAACTTCACACCCTCAACTTGATGAGGACGCAGAATTTTGGTTAGTCTGGGATCAAGAACAACTGGAACACGTGGATGTTCCTTCTCAACCGTTTTCTTAATCCCCAATATCTCGGTCAAGCTTTTATGCACGAGAGGAGAGTCAAGTTGTCGGATATTTTCTTGCTGTTCATTTTCATCGACTGGGGCGGGTTGTTCAACGGCTTTCGGCTTGTCATCGATAGTTGGGTCGTAGAGTACAATCGCGAACTCTCCGCTTGGGTCATGTAGAGGCTTCGCGACAAACACGGCCCCTCGTCTCAGGCCCAAGGTTGGCGGAGGCCTGCTTGAACTATAATGAGCGCTAGATTTATCCTTCAGGGGTAAGGAAAAGGCTTTGCGAAATACTGCTAATTTGTCCTTGGCTTGAAAGACTGGGAACCGATTAGCATCCCGCGTTGCTAGTGCCAGTCTGGCCTCATTTGTATACGGTCTGTGGTCATCGTTGTTTCCATTGGAGCCTCTATAGTCAACTCTTTTTCGTTTTCGGGATGGCCTCTCTGTTGCTGCGGAGTGAGAAGCTGATCCTGGGCATTTGAACGGCTTATGTAGCTGGCCAACGCCATGCTTACGCTGGTACCGCGTCGAGGAAGCTACATCTTTTGTTGTGGAAGTATCCCTGCGTGTGGTATTAGTAGTTATTTGCGAGGAAAAACAAGGCCAACGCACATATTTAGCAATAATTCGGGGTGACCGTTCTCTGCCTCTTTGTGCCAAGCTACAAGCCTGGTAATTAGTATGTACGTGGACGTGTAGCGCGCCAGCCTCCGTGGGTCGGCCCGTGTCACGCTGTCAGCTGACGGGAGTCAGAAATAATAAACTATAAACAGGTACGGAGGAAGAATCAAAAAGTGCTGTCCTATAGGGAGTCAACGCCACAAAATTAAAAAGGTAATAATTATTAATTTTAAGGCAGGGATCTAAGTAGACTCCTAGCTATTATCTTTATTACTTTATTTCTTTTCCCTACCTTCTTTATACTTATTATTACCCTCTAACTTAATAATAGTTTTAATATATTATAATAAGTACTTAATCTAATCTTATATTTTCTTTTATAATATCTTTTCTTAAACTATTTATTATATTATAATTACTTTTTTTAGTTTTTTAATATACTTTTTTTATAAATTTTTTTTCTTTAAAACTAAATAAACTTTATAAAATTAAAATTAAAACTATTATTAAATTATAATGATTATTAAATTTTATATTAATTATAAATATACTATTAAATATAATAGTTATAAATTAAAGTTTTATTTTTCTATATAAAGGTTTTAGGTTTTATTATTTTATAGATTTTAATAAAAGAGATTAGTTTTAATATTATAATTTTTATTTAAT